ACAGTATTTTAATTATATTGCTGGACTTTTCCACCTGCTATGTAAATAGTAACTTTTTCTTTGTCTCTTTGCAGAAAGTCTCGGTCTTTGTTCAGTCGGTGCATTACCTGCAGAGTCTGGTAAGAAACCTGGAAAGTTTTATTACTTAGCCCCCATTCACATATGCGGTGGATTGCTTTTCAGAGGAAGGTTAGAGCTGGTTACAGGTGTTCAGGAGTCAATATTGCACATCCTGGTTGTTGGGGGGGGGGGGGGGGGGGGTTTTCAGAGCCCAAGGGGGATTTTCATCACAATACCATATCCCAAACACATGCCATGCAGTTTGACTTTGTAAGTTGTAAGACCTCATGCATTTGTACAGAAAAAACGCGGCTTTTAGAAGCATCTTCCATTATTTTTATACTCTAGTCAATGTATCCCTGGACATTGCCACATTTGGATTTGGATTTCAGAGCAGCGTTTTGAGGGCATTAACAAATGTCCCAAACCTGCGTCTGTAGCAGGGGCGGACTGACCATTTGGAAACTTGGGCACTGCCCGAGGGCCCAGGGTCAGTAGGGGGCCCCATGAGATGTCCCTGGTACCTTTTTCATAAGCTTTTTTGAGTTTGGGCAAGGACACAGGGGCCCCATGATCCCCTATTGCCCGGGGGGCCCCATGCGTTGTCAGTCCGCCCCTGGTCCGTAGAGTCACTTACTGGCATAACGTTTACATATACAGGGCATTCATCAAGTATTCAGACCCCCTTCACTTTTTTTTGCACTTTTGTTATGTTGCAGACTGATACTACAGTTTAAATTCATTTTTTTGTTCTCATTGTTCTACACTCAGTACCCCATAATGACAAAGTGAAAACCCAGTTTTAGAAATGTTTGCAGAATGTATGAAAAAGGAAAAACTGAAATATCATATTGGCAGAAGTATTCAGACCCTTTGCAACAACTTTTGACATTTATCTCTGGTAGTGCCTCGTTGCTGAGATGATTCTACACCTCGATTGGAGTCCACCTGTGCGAAATACAATTGATTGGACGTGATTTGGAAAGGCACATGCCTCTCTGTAAAAGACCTCACAGGTGACAATGTATACTGTATCAGAGCAAAAACCAGGTCAAAGAAACAGCCTGCAGAGCTCAGAGACAGCATTATTGCAAGGCACAGATTCGGGGAAGGCTTCAAAAAATGTTCTGCTGCACTGAAGGTTCCCAAGAAAACCGTGACCTCCATCATTCTCAGATGAAAGGAGTTTGGCACAACCAAGGCTCTTCCAAGAGCTGTCAATATTATTATTATATTATTATTATTATACAGGATTTATGGCGCCAACAGTTTGCTCAGCGCTTTACAATATAACCGGAGACAATACAGCAACAATACAGTTCAATACAAGAGGGATAGAAGGGCCCTGATCCTTGGAGCTTACAATCTAGGAGGCTATAATTATATTCCTTTCGTACACATTCCTGGAAGTATGGCTCATCAATGGAGGGTGCTGTAGCGACTACCAGCCGGGACTGGAAACATCATAGGCAAACGTACATATTTGCCAGCACACCACGGATCTTGATATGGTCCAAAAAGATTTTTATTCCAAAAAGATCACATCACAAAAAAAAAATTTCCACTATATACACAATAGCTTGTAGATGCTATAACATTGACGCAAACCAATCAGTATACACTTATTGGGATTTTTTTTTAATCAAAGACATGTATCAGAATATATTTTGGTCTAAATTTAGGAAGTGAAATTAGATTTCATAAATTGTTTAATGGATATGTTTTTATAGCAGAAAGTAAAAACAAAATAAATTATATATATATATATATATATATATATATATATATATATATATATATATATTTGTATGTGTATATATGTGTATGTACAGTTGTGTCCAAAATTATTCAACCCCCAATGCTGTAAAGGGGTTTAGGGACTATAGTGTACATTTGGAATTGATTCAGAATCAAATCCTACAAGGACGTTGTAACTACCCAAATGCAACTAAAATGACATCAATTGTTTATGTAATACAGTAGTAAATGGTTCTTATGTGGTTTCTTCATTGCCACAATTATTCAACCCCTTAAAGACTACCACTCTGAAGAACAGAGGTTCATACAGGTGCTTTCCATCAGGTATTGAAAACACCTGTGGATGTCACCGAGCAGCAATCAAGCATAATAAGCACCAATTAGGCAGCTTTAAAATGACTGTGATACTCAGCTCCTTCTAGACATTTACTGGTGTGGTTACAAACATGGTGAAGGCAAGAGAATGGTCCAGGAAGACAAGAGAAGAGGTGATTTCTCTTCACAGGAAGGGCAATGGCTATAAGAAGATTGCAAAGATGTTAAACATACCAAGAGACACCTTAGGAAGCATCATTCGCAAATTCAAGGCAAAGGGCACTGTTGAA